CCTTTCTACGTGGAAACTAGGTGAACCAGGTATTTCTAACAAAAGAGATGACGTCATTATAGGGACATATTTTTGCTATGCACTATAAGCATGGTATACTTTCATTATAATATAATTTTCTATTTATATCATATAACTAGCATACACATTGAAATCAACGCAATTCATTCGCTGAGAAAAATTCACAGAGCATTTCAATTTTCCTTATTAAAAATGCATGTTTGGTTAATCCAATGAGATACTTTCTATTTACATACGAATCTTTGAACACAATTAATATAATTTACTTAGGTCATGGCACGGATTAGTATGTAAAGTCATTCTTTAGAAATACAGAAATTAAAAGATGTCACGAGGGTCAGAGAAGACCAAATACGATCGCAACTATTTTCGAAAATTCAATTTCAATACCCTATGTTCGGATTATGTAATACCTCATTGCTATGTTCGCACATTTTAATCGATGACGCACGAGGCTATTGAAAATGCCCAAGGTTGATTTTTTTTTTAAAGTAGTTGATATCGTGTTAGCACCAAGTAATAATTAAAATACAATTTTGGCGTGGAAATGGAGTGGCATCAATAATGGTTATGATAGTAGGCATGGGTTTTGAAGTCATCATTGGTTATGCATGTGTTTAACACAGACATAACTTACCCAGTCAGTTGCCTCGGGGAAATTAGCGCTTGCTCTTTTTTCTAATTCAAACTATATGGTAAGATAAGACAGTGAACTATCCATTTCTCATATTCCATAGTTTTTATATTCCTTAATCTTTAAAGGCGAATTTTAGGTTTCGATTTTATATTAATTCGTCCATATAATTCATGTGATAATACCTTAAAGACGCATAGTAGCGGGCTCTCATGGGGAATTCGACACCACTCGGGTGTTTATCCAATAAAAGGGGCGTCAATCACCAGGACTAGCCTCAAGTTTTATGGCCAAAAGGCCTAATGTATTCCGCCAATCCCCCATTATGGAAAAGTCAGTACATCTTGCATCCCTCACCCAAAGACTCTCCGAGAGACTCGATGGGACTACGGGTTCGCTGTGTGCGAGACTTGTACACTCATTAATGGTATTACACCAAGTCTGGTGTCAGCGAACTATATGACCTCCTGCACTTGGAAACTGACCACTATCTCCCTTTAACCATTGTGAATTGACATTTTCTGTAAAGTATTGCATGCTTAAAAGTGCACGGCGCACACATGGGCATGGCGAGAATACACAAACCAGTCCATGCGAAAGATACACGTGCTCGCATTACTCTAATTAACACGATCGAGTTTAAACGGTATTGATCGATATTCAGCCAAGTGCGTGATGGGTGAAAGGGCGAACGGACGAAATATCGGAATAACGTTTTCTGCACAAGTCGCCATGCTGAGGCGAAGGAGTTCTGGGTATTAGGGCGATTAATTGCAGTTCGTTGCAAAGGATTCAACCTTCGTTCGAGGAATAATCAATGAACTTCGCCAGTATCAATGAATAATAAGTATCTCTATTTCGTGGAGTAACTTTTAATACTGTCCTTATGCAATGTAATAGTCAATTGATCCTTTGAGTTTAAAGGTGATGTTTAGTACTTTTTTCATGAACGTACATTTTTTTTATGTCTGTAAAAAAAAAAACTTAATAGAAAAGGTAAAAAACTGAGAATAAAAATAAAATATACAAAATAAAAATGTGGGTACGCATAAATTTTGCAAAACATGCTGGATCTAAAAACGTGTCACATCATGTTTTTAGGAAATTCCAGAATCATGTTAATCTTCTATTACAAAGCCTCTAGAATATATTCAAAAGTAACCCACAAAGCAGTAATCAAGCTATTAAAGACGCCGAAAATTTGTCGGGAGATAAAGAACCATTCCCTTGTTTAATAGAAATATTACATATTCGTTCCATTTCACAAGATTCAATGCAAAAGTCTTCCATTTAATTTCCAACCCACCCACCCACATTATCCATTTACACAATGTTCGTATCATACACAGATACAGTCGGACGAATAGTCAAAAGGGTATTGCATGAGACTTTGCAATACGAGAATCTACTCGATAAAGCGATCTCATGAAGAAAAGAAACGCTTCGTAAAGTACAAGGGAGGTCGCTGTTTCCTATTGGCCTTAGGCCACGTATCACGTGATCATTTAGTTTCCACCACCCCTCTATCTCTCTCTCTCTCTCTCTCTCTCTTAGTACTAGTAGTTAGTACCTTTCTTCGTACCTTTCTTCTGTAGCCTTAACTCAGACTTTAGACTGAAAGTTTTCACAAAATGGTATTGGTATTGGCTTGGTAAAGTAACAAGCAATGTACACTTAAAGGTGTATATGGGACTACACAAATATGTGGCATAAAAATCGGGCCTCATTTTTAAGCTGTTACTTGTCATAGGCCTATTTAGAATATGAAGGCACTTGAAGAGCCATACTTTTTAGGGAACATTTTTACTCTGATATTCTTCCACACTTGCATGATAACAATGATAACGCTCACAAAATATTGTTCACCTCTCCCCAAAACTCAATTTTCTCTTTTTAACTGCATTACTAGTAGTTGTTTCAACAATAATTGTCACTGGCGATCTTGCAGAGCCTGGTGATCCATGTTGGGGTAGATACCATTTTAAAATAAATTATTTACAATAACTTGAAAACCAATACGATGTGTTCGAGCTTCATGAGCGAGCGTAGAGCAAATATAACCACGCTTGCTTTGTAGAGTACAGCCCGCAATCAGACAATGGGACAATGGATAACTGGCTATCGAACATGTCACTGTTGCAATAAATTTCCCTCGTCTTGATATTCGTAATATGAATCATGGCGCCAACCAACTCAAATATCAATATATGGGACTGGATTGAGGTTACGTCAATCGTTCACCATTCCCGCAATCATGCCATCATTACAATCCTCATCTGTTTAGGTGACAAAACGCCCAATGGCCTTTCAGCAGCTGGCTATATTTGGATATACTTTCCTTTCCGAAGACGAGCGAGGCGCACTTTTTGGACGAGACGATACGGCACTTTATATTCATATACCTCGGTCACACCGTCTACCCGACTTTACACCGATACAAAACCGAGCAGAGCTTTTCTATTTGGGGTAATACCATTAGGCGTTCGTTATGTTGTCGGACTGGTGTCGGTCTCGTTGGTGTGACTAGTCCCGGTGACTAGGGTATTACATTCCTAAAGTCATGGAGGTGTACCTTTGTCAATGAGACACTAAAGCAAATTAATTCATACCTCCGTCACAAGGCTAACAGACTTTACGCCGATTCAAAACCGAGCGGTGCTTTTCTATTCGGAGTAATGTGATTCTGCGTTCGGTATCGTGTCGATCTAGTTGGTGTGACGGGGGCATAACATTCGAAAATCAGGCGAGGCGCACTATTTGGATGCAGACGATATAGCACAAAGGCGTCGTACTTTGTCACACCGCTAAAACGATTCCAAACATAACGATTTCTGGCCATTGAGGTATCGACTTTTGTTTCTGCCAGTTGTCTGCGTGATGTCCCCGTGACCGGGTTAATATGGAAGGGACGTAGGTACTATCGGTGTGGGGGGGGGGGGGGCATTTTTTGTCAATACTGTTAAGGGATATCCCAGATAACAAAGAGGATAACTGTAGCTATGAAATCGGTCTAATTAGAAAAGGTATTGGATTTGAGAAAGAAGAAAAAAGGCTCGGTAGAATAAATTGCATGGTAAGCAACACCGAAGGCTTAAACGCCCTATTGAGGATAATTATGACTAGCTCTTACACCATGCAGAGATAAAATGGCGATTTTCCTTCTTTCTTTTTTAAATTTGTTTTTAGTAATAATATATTTGTTTAGTTTAATTTCGTTTTGTTTGTTTTGTTATGTTCTATTTTGAATAACGAGTTGAAGAGGAAAGATGTGAATGACGTTCTTATCTCATCATCAGACTGATGAGCCTTGTCGTGGGGGTGAATACTGCTGTAGGCATGATTGGGGCATCGATAAAATCACGTACATCAGTAATGCCATACTTTTGCATTCAGGTGGAGATCGCTGCCTGACAACTCATTCATTTTCTCTTTCACTTCAAAAATGTATACGCAGGATTATGACTTGGGGGGAATACACACGCAGATAAGCTCATCCACAAACTAGGTCGCTGTCGTTGATATTTACTGATATACATGTATATGTATATAATATTTACCTCTGCGTTAAAGTAGAATTTCATCGGCACTACATGGTGTAAAAAAATTGATGTTTCATTAATGCATACAATATTCACATTAATATCTAGAAAATAAATAAATCATTTAAATACACCCGTAGGACTATGATTGTTATGTCAGAAATGCTAAGGTACCGCGACCAGGGACGCTCGCCTTTCGAAATGTCACCGTAGCCATTTGGAGAAACCTGATTTATGCGCGAGCCTTTCATGTAATGCTCTGGCTAAAGTTGCAACATCTGTTTTATTGGTTTCCCTTGATATATGGGTAGGTTTAATTCCGATTCATCATAAATCAGTTTTTCAATATAACTAATGGTGCCGGCGTTTCTCTCGCTGCTTTATCGATTGCGTTCTAGTGTCAAGTCGAGATCGGGTTTTTCTTTAGACGTCTTCCGGCTTTCCTTTGAGCTTCAGAGGCGGTCATCTGGAAGCGTTGATTAGTACAGGGTTGTCCCCTTGATATAGTGAATATGAAGCATGACTTGCGGAAATCCTGACCTTGCAAACTGTCCAATATTGTCATGTAAAGCATTCATCGAAAGAAAAATGCCCAGAAATAGTAACAGACATGAGCTGTGTAAGGAGGATCAATAGGAAATGTATTTGAATAGTAATTGGTATTTAATGAGTATTGAGGCAACCATTTCCGCGCAATTCGCACTTTATTACGTAAAAAGTGTAAAGGGTGTACTTTTAATGGGCAATAATATCGGACTTTTGATCAAATTGGCCGTGGCTCGAGTCTCAGCCACTAGACTAACTACATGTCTTTTGTCGAGACATTAGTTTGCATTTGCCACTCTCCACCCAGGTAAACGAGTAATTGGTAGGAAGAAATTCCTCGGATACCTACAGCTCTGCTATAGGGTAAAGAATAGTAGTTTATAGACTCATAATTAAACAATCTCTTGAGATGGATATGAGTGCATTCTTGAAAAAGCCCAAAATCATTCTATCGTGATTCCAATCATGATTCCAATCATATAAGTCACATGTGCAGAACATCTGGTTAACAGCTCCACCCTTTCTGACTTCGTTAATATAGTTCCATGGAAGTATCAAATTCGTATAAGCATTATATCGTAGAACTCTCGATGAATAAAGACGATATCCTTTTTTCAATTACAGAAACTTCTGCCTGGCCCAGACAGTACCAGACGAATATGGCGTCGGCAACGAGGATGGTTTCACCGTGGGCGACCTCGGCTACGACGTAGACCTGAGGAGCGAGATGGACGCCGAGTTGGAGAAGGAGGAACAGGCTCGGGCGAACATCTCGAGGATCCTAAACGAACTCATAGATGGATACGACAGGAACCTGCGACCGAACATACGAGGTAAGTCACTGTGGTAAGACTGTGGATCACATGGTTCGTGGTTCGAGTCCCGTCGCGGCACTAATGTCCTTGGGAAAGGCATTGATCTATATTTGCCGCACTCGACCTAGGTGAGGTAAATGGGTACCTGGCAGGAATTAATTCCTTGAAATGCTAGAGCGCCGTAATGTCAGCAGTGCTGAAGCCGGCGTAATAAATGTGGAACGCCAGGAGCGTCATGTCAGACAGACATGAGTGCTATACAAGAGCCGCTATATTCATTATGGTTATAATTATTATCTTTAGCTTCCCGATTTCGCACACAGGTAATCTGACGATAAGATATTTATAAATATTTATATTATAAAAAGGGTATCAAAGGGTTCTTTTCTAATTACAAGTGCGAGCTCAGCGTTTGATATTCAAGCTCGTCACCCATATACAAGCGCGCGCATACACGACATGCCAACTCAAAACAACTTTCAATTTTCTATTTTTTGTGTATCGGGTACTCACTTATTAACATGAGGACAGATGAGCATGCACTCTTCAACTAAATGGCAGACCCCCCACCCTTCCCCCTCTTCTCCCTTCCCGTCACCTTTTCACTACTTCCATCAACACCTTCACAACCACTTACAATAATCGTTTTAATAGACACAATTCAGAGTACAATCATGCAGTGTGTCTCTCGTAAAACCATGATGTCATAATATTATTGATCGCCGTATGTGCACAGCGGAAGTGTATCGTTATAACGACGTATCCCCGATGATGGTGCGCGATACGGGTAAGCACTCTAAAATCAGAGCCTATGATGTTTCGGCATCCATGTCTCTCCCTGCGCCAATTGGGAATTGGTGGCGGGAAAGTAGACCGTTTGATTCAAAAGCACACTTGGATCTCGATCAGTGAAAGTTACACCGATCCGTCGTTTAGCGCTCGGTGGAGGCTCTCTGCATACCTTAAGCTTTGGGTTTCCAAGTTCGTGTTTCCCGCTTTCCTGCTGGCCCATCTCGAGTGCGTAATCGTATCTAGATAATATTCCCGCTCTTTTGAAGAGAGTGTTTTATTATCCCTCCTTTTCTCGTTTTTTGTTCTCTCTCTCTCTCTCTCTGTCTCTCTCTCTGTCTCTCTCTGTCTCTCTGTCTCCCTCTCCCTGTCTCTATCTCCCCCCCCCCCTCTCTCTCTTTCGCTCTATCTATCTCGATCACTGTTTTTCTTCCTACCCTCTCCAATATATTTTGTATCTTTATTTTTATTTCTCTCACCCTTCTCCAATTTTTTCTTTCTTTCTCGTTCCCCTTCTTATGATCTCTCTGTCTCTCTCCCTCTCTCTATCTTCATCTTGCTATCTCTATCTCTCTCACATTTTCACTCTTGTTTATTTGCCTTTCTCTTGTCTTCTTTTCTTAAATCTCTGCTCTCCCTTTTGTTTCTCCATCCTTATTCTCTATTTCTCTGAGTATATCATATTTTTGTCTCATTTTATCCCTCTCTCCCTCTCTCTCGTTTTCTCGCTCTCTTTTTCTCTCTCCCCCTTCCGATTTCCCTTCCTCCCTACATTACCTCTTTACCTCTTTCTCCCCCACCCCGCCCCCCTCTCTCTCTCTCTCTCTCTCTCTCTCTCTCTCTCTCTCTCTCTTTCCCCTTTTCTTCCTCCTCTTCCTCATTCCGTCAATCTGATCATCGTCGCACATACAATCACAAACAGAGTGACAGAGTGTATCTTTCAAGAAGGCGCATAATGGTATATACATTGACCCCCTTTTTTCTAGTGCAAGTGGCAACGATGTTTTTAATGCACGTGCTGTTTTTCTTTAGGTGTCGGTGGCAAGAAATTTGCAAATTGCAACACTGCAGTCGTTTGCGCTGCATGTAACAAAAGTCGAAGCGCCTCCAACCTGGATTAGCTGGTTTCCATGGATAAAGAGCTTTTTTGGTGACTTTAGGGTACCTACAAAGAACAAACAAACAAAAATATTTGTGTATGTTTTATAGGTACAAAGATAATATGACAATTAAGTATTATTAGTCTAAACCAAACAACTTTATTTCTTTACTAGTCGACAGCATCACACACCAAAAGCTTCGCACTATTTATCCATAGCTTACGGGGCGATCCGGAAAGTACTTCTCGAAATTAGTCAGAAATCCGGTAAAACAGATTTAGTCAATTTGGTAATTTGAATCTCACAGGATTTAGAATCATCAGTCCAATTTCATTCACTTTAGACTGCTGGGCTCTCTGACTCTGGATAATAGCGAGGAATTTTGTTTTCTAACCTAATCGCGTGACAAGCTCTTTTATTGATTTCATTAACTCGTTTCGGCATTTCCATGTTTTTATTCAAAACAAGATGAATTCATATTAGAGTCCCATATGAGTAAAGTTGCATGCAACCATTTTACAGACGGCAAAGATGGGTCCGTGGGAGACATGGATAATATGGCATAATCGGTGCAGTGGCGCATTGTTAGACAAGGCATTAAATGGGGGCGTTGGGGTCATGTGGGAAGGGGGGGGTCACCGTTTTTACGTGACGGATGAAATGAGAACATACAAGGCAATGGTGGACGGGGAGGGGGGGGTGTTTAGAGGGTCCTGTCGTTTCTTTGCTCTTTTCTCTTATCGCTTTACGATTGAAGGGGCACATGTTCCATGTCACCTCCCCATACAGATCTGTCCCCATACCTACACCACTAAATCTGTGGCTGAACAGGGGCAAAGAATAAACTTGGCAATAATCACATTTTAATTACACAATACAGCAGCATTTCTCACGGTTACCCGAAGACCCTGCCCCCGATCTTCCAACCCAGTGCCCAAGCAAAGCCCGGGTTATTTACCTTGGATATAAGAACCACATATTGGGTAGCAGGGACATCGATCCCCTATTGTTTTCGTTCATGCAACTGGCCCTCCCTGTCTCGAGCATCTAATATTTTGTCAGTTAGCCTCAATGAACCAAAGTTAAAGAATTATTGATTGCCGTTCCAATTTGGAAATGTAGGGTACGGTATAAGAGCCCCGGGGCGTATACTGTGAAGTATAATTTCGCCAGCAGCGCCTCCGAATTGGAAATGTATCATTATAGGAGAAGCAGGTTATGATTGTCGCCTTGAATACTGTGTGCATTCATCACGTAATAGCCTAGTCATGGCGTGTCTAGTCACGGTGTTGTATTTTAATGGGACTGTGGGGCAAAATTTTCATACAGAATTGGCAAAATGATAAAAGATAAGAGGGTAGAATAGTAATTTTACCTTTCGGATAGGGACATAAACATGATAAAAAGCAGGTTATTCTCCTTATTTACTAGATAGCCGACGATTATCATTGAGGGGGGGGGGGGATCAAACGCCACACACTTCTCTTTAGCGACGCCACTGAGTGTACTGTCCTCGTTGCTGAACACCCGTCAACGCATGCAGCAGAGTCCTTGCATGTCAAAATAATAATGGAGAAAATACATTAAGAGCTGCAAACATTACCCGATAAACATCTTGTATACCCTCTTAAGGACAAGACATTAATAACATGGTATATGTACATAATATCACCGAGGTACTTTTTTGTAGAGTACAATGAGTTTCACATTAGGACAACATGTTTACAGGAGTATTGTACTTTAAACACCACAGAAATGATAGTGCGGTCGAATTATCCAGAACTATTAACGAAGTTTGCAACACAGTTATCCCGGTTATGACGGCTGTGCAAAAACACATAGAAGCAATTGTTTGCACAGGTTATATTTCAATAATTTTGTTTGTTCTGGTCGGTTTCCCTTTGTTTCCGATACTTGGATTTCATTTGTATAATTTAAATATCTTAATATTTCATGCAGTGCAGCTCACGTAGCAAGTGTAGAACGGGGTAGAAAAATACCTGAAATATTTTTGCATAGCCAGATTAAGCATCTTTGAAATAGAGGTATTCAATAATCCAATTTCGGATCTTCTATCAAACACATTAACACTGTAGAATAACAGATTAATCCAATTTTTTAATTATCATCATCCCAAATTGTTGCTTGCTAGCATTCGCCTTTTTCCCAGAAATTGATTTCCGGATACAAAATTGATGCAGTATCTGTTGGATTATCCACATCTAGTTCAAGCATTCAAGAAGAGCTTAAAACGTGTCCCGGGACATCGCATGTTTGATTAAATTATATGTTCTATTTATATTTCCTTTGTTGCGTGGTGAAGAATGGACGCGAATACATGTCGTCATGTCATATTTGCACAACATATTTCCCGCAGGCATTCTCCGTGATGGATAAGACAGAGACAATTGTATGCTTTTAATCAAGTTAAAAGCACTTTTAGGAGACACGAAGAGATGCCTGGGTGAGAGAAAGGAACGGGGTAAAATTTCAATCTGCCTGTCTGTCTCTCTCCCTCTCTCTCTTCCTCTCTCTCTCTCTGTCTCTCTTTCTCGATTTCTCTCACCCCCCCCTCTCTCTCTCTCTCTCTTACTCACTCTCCCCGAAGGACACATAATGCTTGTGAGATCAAAACACATCACTTACATTATTCTTAGTCGGTGAATACATTATACGATGATACTGCGGAGGAATGCCCTGCAAAGGACTGAAAAGAGAGCTGGGAAAGGAAGAAAGGTTATTTAAAAAATTGACAGACAGGCAGGCTGGCTATGACAGAGTGATAGAAGAGATATAGAATATGGAACTTAGACAACGTTAGACAGTAGATCCATAGCCAGTGGTGTGGCGACAAATAGATAGACAAATAGAGAGATAATAGAAATATAGATACATAGAGAGAGAGAGAGAGATGTAGACAGACAGGCAGAGACAGACATACATAATTATCAAGACAGACAAAAATGCACACACAGAGAGACAGACAAACAGAAAGAGAGAGAGGGAGACAGAGAGAGACATAAAGACATAGAGAGAGACAGAGACAGAGACAGACACACAGAGAGAAACAGAAACAGAAAGGGGGTACTAGAGGGTGGAAGGGGAAAACACGTACCTAGAAACAAAGCG